CCCCAAAACCCCAAAACCCCAAAACCCCAAAACCCCAATTTTCCTCTAATTTATTGAATGTTAATTTTTGCATCTTCTAGTAGATTTGGATTTAAGTCTTTTGGTTTAAGAGCAATCATAGATTGTACAGATTTATCCACTCTCATCTGGAGGAGGTCTAGTTTCCTCTGATTCATCTTTAGAAATCTCTTCTTTGTCCGGCACAGTTTCTTTTGGTGTTTCTTGAACGTTGTTCTCTTTATTTAAAATTTCTGGACTTTCAGGCTTATCTTTTGTTTCTAAATCGATCATTCATAAATCTCACCTTCAGTGGTAGGAGTTTCTTTCCTATTCATAAATCCGAAATAGTTCTCTTTTTCCTTAGTATCTTCATATCTCGGAGCCTGTATAGCCTCTATCTGCTGAAGCCAGTCAGGGATGCCTTTCCTAGCTTTCTTAAGCCCATTTTCATCTCTTTCTTGGTCTTTCTCTGTTTCCTCGAGCACTTGTCTTGCTGCTTTTTCCTCATAAGTTTCTAAAAATTACCCGATCTGGTTACCATAATTAGCAATTCTTGAGATCAAGTGTATTCTTTGGTCCTGTCTGAGTTCATGAGATTCACAGAATTTAACAACTAACTTCTTGGTGTCGTCCTTGGAAACTCCAAAGCTGAGCATCATTGTGAGAAGCGATGATAATTTGTAAAATATAATCTCTCTGAAAGCATTCTCTGTGTCTGCTTCGTAATCATATTCGAAGAACTCGTTCTTGAGTTCTCTCCGGATACTCTCAAAAGCCATTTTCTCCCAGAAACCAATTTTCTTCACTAAAATTTTATTGTTAGAATTTACCAGGACCGAGATTTTCGATGCAAGAGCTGAGATATTTCCTCAATGGTTGGCTCGTGTCTATTATCCTGCAGATTAGTGTAAAACCTTACTCCTTGGATGGGTCTTGCTGGTAGAAAATATTGTTTCAAATTTCGATCAATTTCAACCCACTTTCTCTATCATCGTGAGTAAGAATTCTGTCAAATCATCCTATAATCAGTCTAGAAAGTTGCTCGAATCAGAGCCTTGAGTTGATTCTTGGACTGTTCTGTCCAGACCATGCTTTTAGATAGTCAAGAAGCACAGTTCTTCCCAGTTTCTGTTCCATGATGGAGATAAAATTATCCATCTCCATTTGAGTCAGAGGCTCCTTGATGGCATCTATTTATGTGAGAAAATGACATACCTTCAGATACTAAGCTCTGTACCAGGCTGAATATCTCTTCTTCGTATTTAGATTTAACAGGGTCGTGTATAACAGGGACTTCACTCTCCTCATCTTCAGCTTCAACAAACTTGTATTCCCCAAACTGATCAAATTTGGAAATGTACTCTCAGTACTCTTCATCAAGGGCAGATTGAGTGTCTGATTTTGCTGGAGAATCCTTAGTCTCATTCATAGTTGTTTCATCTAACTTGGTCTCTTCTTTTGGTGCTTTATCATTCGGTTCCTTTTCTGGTTGGGTAATCTCCTCTATCAATTTGACAAACATTTTAGCATCATATTTCAGAGTCATCTCCACACTGGTCTCAAAGATTACAAGTTTGTTCAAAGAATCTATCATAAGCTGCTTGCGCTCTTTTTCCATTTGGGAGTAGACCCTAACCAACCCTTGCATTCTCTCTGTATAGAATTTTAAGTTATCATTAGCTCTCTTTACAAGGAGCTGGTATGCATTTTCCTTTTCATGGCTGACCCTCATCTTAGAATTCATTTGCCCAAAGAGCTTGTCTCTGTAGAACACAGTGTCCTTATCATCACCCTTATTTTCTTTACAGAATTTTTCATAATTTGAAATTGCCCGCTTCATTTCAACTTTAGAACTGTAATATTCGGCCTTAATAGTCTGGAGGTCATCTTCTAGGTCTTTGGTTACCTTCATGGCCTTCCTTCCGTCATAAGAGATGCCTGTAATAGCATGGTAATGACTATCTGCACATTCTTGTAAGGGATCGTAGATATCCTGGGAGATATTTTTGATTAAGTCATACGATTGCCTAGACTTTGACTCAGCACAATTCACCATCTCTTCAAATATCTTCCCGTATTGGGAATCATACAGGTGCTGAAATTTGAAGGTTGAGAACTTATTTATTAGACCTGGCGCAGGCTCTCTCTCAATCCATTTTGTTCTCCAAAACCTTAGCTATAGACTGGATTAGGAGATGGTTTCATTCAGATCGTACCGAACTCAGTGATCTCTTTAACACCTTGATTTGCCTTTTGCTCTAGTTCCAAGAACACTTGTCTAAGCCTAAGCTTGAAGGACTTACTTATGAGAGTCTATATAGTTCTCCATTTCTGAACTTCAATATTTTTAAAATTTGTGGGGTTTTGGGGTTTTGGGGTTTTGGGG